TTTAGTTTATATGATTTCTAGTAAAACTGGAGTCCGTGGGAACCAGGGGAATTATCTTTATTGGTTGGAGTCGTTCTTAGCAAGAAGAGAATTATTCTTAGTGCAGACCAATTGCTCAGTGTTTGAGCATCTTTGAGTCTCTCCAGACAGCATTCTAGGCCTAGCTGCTTAGCCAATGACCTTTCCCTCCATCAAAAGCTTAGGTGTGGAGATGTTGATTAATGCACGTACTGTTAAGTTCCAAAATTGCCCATAGTGTTCAGGGAGGTGTAGATTAGGTGGGTTATAGGGGAATGGGTCTGGGTGGGATGCTCTGAGTTTCGGTGTGGACTTGTTGGGCCAAAGGGCCTGTTTCCACACTGTAGGGATTCTATGATCTGCAACTTCAATGATGGAGGTATTATTTACACAATGCACTGCAGAAACTTGCCAAGCTTGTTCAGCAGCACCTTCCAAACCCACAACATGTACCACTTAGAAGGGCAAGGACAGCAAATGCTTGAGAACACCTCACCTGCACCCTCCCCGCAACCTACATGCCATTAAGACTTGCAATTGTGTTACTGTACCTTCAGAGTCAGAGTTAAAATCCCTGGAATTTCCTGCGTAACAGCATTATGGGTATAATTACACAGATGGATTTTTTTTATGTAATCTTTTATGTGATGTATGCAGCACTATCAAGCTCAGTTTGTAAGTGTCCAAGTTTACCCACAATTTATTTGTATCACACCTTTATAGTGATTTATCCGAAGGTGCAAGCCTTCTGTATATTTCATGTTTGTGTGAATAAATGAGAACAAGACAGGACTATAATGAATTGCAAGAGTGAAATTCATAACTTGTGTTTACGGGTAGTCATTCAGCATGGAAATAGACACTTTGGTCCAACCAGTCCATACCGAACGTAATGTAATCTCAAACTTAACTAGACTCACCTGCTGCTCCGGGCCCATATCCCTCCTAACCTTTCCTATTCATATATCCATCCAAATGTCTTTTAAACATTGTAGTTGTTCCTACATCCACTTAATCAGGATGTTCATTCCACAGGCGAGCCATGCTCTGAATTAAAAACAAAATTTGCTTCATGTCTTTTCTAAATCTCTCTCCTCTCACCTGAAAAATGTGCCCCCGAGTCTGGAAATTCCCCATCTTAGGGAAAAGACAACTCCATCAACTTAACCTATACCTCTCATTATTTTATAAAATTTTATCAGGTCATGCTGCAGTGGAAAAAGTCTCAGCCTTTCCTAATGACTCAAACCTTCCATACCCAACAACATGCTGGTAAATCTCTTCTGAACCCTCTCCAGCTTGATAATATCCTTTCTGTAACTGGGCGACCAGAACTGGACGCAGTATTCCAGACGAGACCTCACTAATGTCCTGTACAACCTCATCGTCCCAATTCCTATACTCAAAGGATTGAGCAATGAAGGCAAGTGTGCCAAACACCTTTTTAACCATCCTGTCCGTATGTGATGAAAACTTCAAAGAACTTTGTACCAGCACCCCTAGGTTCTTCAGTTCTACAACACTACCCAAGGCCCTACTGTTAATTGTATAAGCCTTACCCTTGTTTATTGTACCAAAATACAATACCTCACATTTATCCAGATTGAACTCCATGAACCATTTTTCAGCCCATTGACCCGTTTGATAAAGATCAGTTTTTAATCTTAGAAAATCTTCTTCACTGTCTATAATGCCTCCAATTTTGGAGTCATACAAACTTATTAACCATGCCTTCTATATTCTCACCCAAATCATTTATATAAATGACAAACAAAAGAGGACACAGAACTGATCCCTGTGGAACACCGCTGGTCACAGGCCTCCAGTCCAAAAATCAACCCTCCACCATTACTCTGTCTCCTGCTGTTAAACCAATTATGAATCCTATGTGACCTAACTTTACCAATTTTACTACCATGCGGAATCTTGTCAAAGGCTTTACTAAAATCCAAATAAACAACGTCTACTGCTCTGCCATCGTCAATGTTTTTGGTAACTTCCTTTTAAAAAAAACTCAGTCAAGTTTGTAAGATACGATTTTCCTTGCACGAAACCATGCTGACTATCTGTAATCATTTTTTGCACCTTAAAATGACCATAAATCCTATTTTTTATAATCACCTCCAACAATTTACCCACAACTGAAGTCAGGCTTACAGATCTATAGTTCCCCAGTTTCTCCTTATGACCTTCCTTAAACAAAGGGACAACATTAGCCACGCTCCAGTCGTCATGCACCTCATCCGTAGTTATAGATGATGCAAATATTTCTGCAAAGGATCTCGTAATTTCCTCCCTTACTTCCCACAGCATTCCGGGATTGATTAGATCAGGTCTCGGAGATTTATCCACCTTTTATATTCTCTAAGACCTCCCTAACCACCTCTTATGTAACGTGAACTGTTTTTGAAACGTCAAAATTTATTTCTCTGCATTCTCTACAGTCCATCTCTTTCTCTACAGTAAAAGCTGCTGCAAGATATTCATTTAGTACCTCTCCCATCTTCTGGGGTTCAACACCAAGACAATTTCCTTGATCTTTTAAGAGGCCCAACCCTCTCTAGTTACCCTCTTGCTCATAATGTATTTGTAGTATCTCTTTGGATTATCCTTAGCATTGGCAGATAAGATTATTTCGTATCGCCTCTCTGCCTTCCTGACTTGTCTCTCAAAAATGCCCCTACGCTCTTTTATATTGGTTAAGAGATTCAATTGAACCAGGTTGTCTGTATCTTTTTAAAAAAAAAAAAAAATCTTTTATCTTGACTATACCTCAATACCTTTATCCATTGTTCCTTAATCATACCAGCCTTACCCTTCACTCTAACAGGAACAAAATGCCTCTGAACTCTCATCATTCACACTCTTGAATGCCTCCCACTTAGCAGATGGCATTTTACCTGCGAACAGTCTACTCCAATTAACTTTTGAAAGTTCTTGTTTCATAACATTAAAATTTGTCTTACTCCAATTAAAAACTTTAACTTTTATGGAAGGCTTATCCTTTTCCATAATCTTTTTGAAACTAATAAAATTATGATCGCTAGTCCCAATATGTTCCCCGACTTTGACTTCAGTTACCTGCCCTCCCTTATTACCCAAAGGAAGGTCTAGTTTTGCTCCTTTTCTCGTAGGAGCATCCACATATTGAGAAAGAAAATTTTCTTGAGCATATTTGGCAAATTCTTCACCATCCAAACCTTTCACTGTATGGCATTTCCAGTCAATGTTTGGAAAATTAAAATCTCCCATTATTACAACCTTATTATGCTTACATATATCTGAGATCTCCCTACATATTTGTTTCGCAGTTTCTCTCACTATTGGGGGCCTATAGTACAATCCCATCAGTGATGTTTCCTTAGATAGTAGGAACTGCCGATGCTGGAGAATCTGAGATAACAAGGTGTAGAGCTGGATGAAGAAAAATCTGAAGAAGGGTCTCGACCCGAACCGTCAGCTTTCCTGCTCCTCTGATGCTGCTTGGCCTGCTGTGTTCATCCGGCTCTACACCTTGTTATCTCAGTGATCTTTCCTTTCTTGTTTATAATTTCTACCTGTATTTTTCACTGGATGATTTTTATTATCAGAAATATCTTCCCAGTTACAGCAGTAATGTATTCCTTAATCAAAAACTCCACCCACCCCCATCTTGCCTTTTCTATCTTTCCTATAACATCATTGAGCTGCCAGTCATGTCCATCTCTCAGCCAAGTTTCTGTAATAGCAATGACGTCCCAATTCCATGTTCTTAAACATGCCCTGAGTTCATCAGCCTTACCTGTAAGACCCTTTGCATTGAAATAATTTAGTTCTTCAGAGTTACTACATACTCTGACTCTCTCTTGTCTTTTCTAATTGACGTGCTCTCCTCACATTCAGAACCCACCCCATCAATCCTTCCATTTACACTGTCACTTAGAATTCCTTCACTCGCCTTCTCTATCGGTACAAAGTCTCCCTTAATAGAATGACCAAATCACCCTGCTAAGATATGTCCCTTTCCAGTTTAGGTTAGACCCATCCGTTCTGAACAGGTCTTTTCTATCCCAAAAGTCATTCCAATTGTCCAACAACCTGAATCCTTGAATAAAACACCAGCTCTTCAGCTACTTATTTATCTCCTTTAACCTTCTGTTTCTTCCCTTGTCTAAGTTTGGCATTGGGAGTAAACCAGAAATTACTACCTTTAAGATTTTATTTTTTAATCTTCTACCTAACCTTTTAATTTCACTCTGTGCTGCTATAATCTTTCCCTAAAAATGTCATTTCTATCAATGTGTACAATAATTTCTGGCTTCTCAATCTCGCCTTTAACATAATGCTTGAAACGTTTAGAAACATCCTTAATCCTAGCACCAGGAAAGCAATAAACCATTCTCAATTTACACTCAATGCTGCAGAATCGCCTGTCTATGCCCCTGACAGTAGAGTCCCCTATAACAATAATTCTAGAGAGATTTTGTATTTGTGTATTGTGACTTTCATGCCATCCTAGTTTGATATACAATGATTTAAAATGTGTATAAACAAACCTGTTCTCTTTGCACTGATTTAAGACGTTCATTTAGTTACCACTTTCAAAAGAAAATAGCATATTTACAATTTAGGTTTAGCACTTCATCAGAAGTGGTGAGAGTTGCACCCCAAATAATGACTTCTTTGTGCATACCAAGGCTTTGTTTTTCTGATTGTCAACATTTGTTGATTTGCGGTTCTTCAGTTGGATTGTTGATACAGCTACAATCCCAAATAGCTTTTTAAAAGAAAAGTGTTCCACTCCCACCTTTATCCTTGGTTCAGTTAAGGCAGTACTTTATTTTAGCAATGAATTTGGTGCCAGATTTTGCATTCACCATTGCATTTCCAAGTCTGACCATTGGCAGGAGAGCATTGTTTCAGCTGGTTTAAGTCTGACCAGTGTCTTCAGGCCTTCTTAAAATCTCCACTGAATCCATTTCCTTTCTTTGTGATTTAGTTTGTGTTGGTGAGTCCGAATTTGGAACAGTATGACTGCCTGCTGAAACAGTTACGCGAGCGAATGGACGAGGGTTGTGGGGAGACAATCTATGTAATTGGACAAGGATCAGGTAAAGTCTTCTTAAGTAAATGCAGTATTTATCAATTTTAATATCCTTTACTGGAAACTTGTTCCATTTTATGTCCTTTAGGGTGCAACATTTACCTCCTACTCTCTTACTATTTAAGTTGCCCCCACCTGGCATTTGCAGGTTTAGCACAGTGAATGTGGTCAGTTGACTCTGCACAGTTTACAATCCAGAAAAATAACTGGGTGATGAGACATCTTCATCTTAATCCTTGTGATCTCTTTATTCCAGATGGCAAGAAATATGGTCTGAATGATGAGGATATTGAAGCATCTGTAGCGACTGTCAAAAGTCTAGCTGAGCAGATCTATTCTGATCTGATCCTCCTCAGAGAGCGTCAGGAGGCAGGAGGAAAAGTAGCTGATTACCTGGTTCGGAAACGAGTCGGGGAGAATGACTTTTTGGAGGTCAGGTGAGGCATTGGAAGTGTCACATTTATTTAAATGAAAGAATCTTGGGAATATTTATCACGACAAGCTCAACCTGTGGAGAAGTGGGAATCATCAATGCCTTGCTTTTGTTGAGGGGTTGGGGAAAGCGAGTGCTGCTTCCTGAAGGCTTTGACTTTCTTGTAGGTCAGTTACCTCCTTGTATCTTGCCCCATTGACCAGTATTTGTGCCCAAGCTTAAACTTAATGCCCAACCATATGTTCTACAACACAGTTACAACTGCTAATTGTATCAACAATTGATGGGAAGGCGATGGCCTACTGGTATTATCACCGGACTGTTAATTCAGAAACCCAGATAATGTTCTAGGGACCCAGGTTTGAATCCCGCCATGGCAGATAGTGGAATTTGAATTCAATAAATATCTGGAATTAAGAATCTAATGATGACCATGAATCCAGTGTCGATTGTTGGAAAAACCCATCTGGTTCACTAATGTCCTTTTAGGGAAGGAAACTGTCATCCTTACCTGGTCTGGCCTACGTGTGACTCCAGACCCACAGCAATGTGGTTGACTCTTAACTCCCCTCTGGGCAATTAGGGATGGGCAATAAATGCTGCCTGGTCAGTGACGTCCTCATCTCATGAATGAATAAAAAACAAAAAACTGATATGGAGAATTAGATGGTGACTCGAGCACCGTAAAGACACTTTTTCTAACATAGAAATTGTGTGGGGTCAGGAGCTATATACCTGTAGTGTTTGACTCTGAATAAGTCTATTCCAATAAAGACTGCCCATCAGGACTACAATAACAAGCTGGCGTTCACAAGCTGGTATGTTTGTATTTAATCACTCCTGTTTGTATTTAATCATTCCCTTTTGTTATTTAGTCCATTCAGAGATGAGCAATAACACCAAGTGTTGCCCTGGTGCATTCAAAACAGAGATAAATGGAATCTGGAACTGGCTTTCATTGAGTTACAACAAATATGTCATGAACTGAGGCTTCCTGGTTGTTTGCAAGTCCCCTAGGTGACTCTGGTTGCAGATAATCACAGCAGCGCTTAGTCAATGATCTCTGCCCAACACTACTCTCTTCAATCGATCTTGTCATTTGCAAACACTGGAGTTACACCCCCTCTTTATTCCCGCAGGGTGGCGGTGGTCGGGAATGTAGATGCTGGTAAGAGCACGTTGCTGGGTGTACTGACGCATGGCGAACTTGACAACGGACGAGGATTTGCGCGGCAGAAACTTTTCCGTCATAAGCATGAGGTTGAGTCTGGGCGGACAAGCAGTGTTGGCAATGATATTCTGGGCTTTGACAGCACTGGGGATGTTGTGAACAAACCAGACAGCCATGGCGGTGGACTGGACTGGACCAAAATCTGTGAGAAATCCTCGAAAGTCATCACCTTCATTGACCTGGCAGGACACGAGAAATACTTGAAGACCACAGTGTTTGGAATGACAGGACACCTACCAGACTTCTGTATGTTGATGGTGAGAAGGAAAATATTTTTATGCAGCACTTCATGCTACCTCCGGGCACCTGAAGGGATTTTGCAGCCAATGCAGGAGTTCATTTTCCTGGGAACATACTAATCCTGAGCCCTCTGTCTTTCTCCCACTATCATCATTGAATGCTTCCTACTGGTTTTTCCTTTGAAGTAGCTGTTTCCACTTCAGCTAAATTATGTTGGCCCACGACGTTGAGGAGAGATTTGCTGTTAGGGCTATGGAAACTTTTGGGTAATCTTCCAAACGGGAGGCTCTCTCTGTTTAATGCCGCGTCCAAGAGACAGCAGCACTATGTCTGATTACTGCAGTGCTAGTACTAGTCTGGGTTATGCACTTCAATTCCTAGAATGGAACTTGCACTCTGAACTTTCCCACTCTGAGTCTTGCCCACTTGAAATGTGGCAGTAATTACCCACAGTGTTTGTTGTTTAGGATGCCATTTTTTCCCTCCTTGCTCGCCATGGGCACCGGCTTACTGGCATTCAGCACCGAGTGTCTGCAAGCCCTCTGCCACCCTGTACTGTGAGACCTGATGCTCAGGCATGGTGAGGAAGGAATATTTGAGCAGGACTTGGTCCTGTCCTTGCTTGTTATTGACAGGTGCACTCCACCAACAGAGTTTGTGCCTGGCTGCCTTAATTAGTCATCTTGTGCCAATTTTCCTCTGTAGATTGTAGACCAGGTTGTGAAAATCGGTTACTGTAGAAATGTTTCTGTCAGCTATTCTACAGTCAGTATGTTCTATTGTCTAAACAAAGGGTGATGTATAGGAAGTGAGTCTCCCAATAACACCTGGTTGAGTGACCTTCGTTTCCAGCAATGAGGCAAATACCCTGTCTCCTATTGATTATCAATCCATAGTTTATGTGGCAGACCTTTACCTCTGTACCAGCTCGTGTAGGCAGCAAGTGTAAGCTGTGTGTTTGAACAGTTAGAGCTTGAACCCACACACCACACCATCATTAGAGGCCCAGTGTTTAAAACCTGTGGTTAAACTGGTTAATGCTGTTGTCTATTCCGGTTATTTCCAGAAAGTGCCGTCGGCTTTCGTGAGCTTTGGGCAACTGGAAAAGAATAATAAGCCTGGATTTCTATTGAGCATTTCATGAGCTCGGATATCTCAAAGCTCACTAGAGCCAATTGGTGCTGTATTGTAATCAGCACGTGCTGAAGATTTGTATAAAAGGTAATAGGAACTTTAGTATTCAGTTCTGATGGTCAGCTGCCTTTTTCTCCCCCATTCTGACCGGATGAACTTTGCCTTTAAGGTCGGTAGTAATGCTGGAATTGTTGGCATGACCAAAGAGCACCTGGGACTTGCACTGGCCCTCAACGTTCCTGTATTTGTTGTGGTGACAAAGATAGACATGTGTCCGGCTAATATCTTACAAGGTAATTTTGTACTTCACTTCTTGTCATTTGATTTGAAAACGCTTGTGGGTCCTATTTCCAGCCACCTGTCATGGGTGCTGGCAGGTGTGTGAACTGAGTTATCCCAGGTGAGGCCACAATGATGCCATTTTGGCTACTGGCATTAATTTTGTCGGAATTTTCTTGCCCGCAATACAGGTAAATGTAATCCACAGTTATATATTTGCAACAATTCACTGCCTTTCAGTAGCCATTGAAGTTAAGCACACTCATTCATTTTCTTCTTTTTCTCCAGCTAAAGAATACACAACATATACAAATCATGTGAATGAGTGTTACAATTTCAGGACCAATGGCTATCTATTACTCCATTTTTAATGTAATGATGTGGATTCCAAATTGGCAAAAACCATCCACTTGGCCCAGCTAGTCTGTTTTTGGTGTTTGCATTCCACAAGAGTCTTCTCTCTCCTCATTTACGCTCTTTCTATTCCCTTTTCTCTCCGGTACCCCTCTAATATCCTTTTGAAAAGATCTATCTAACTCTGATAGCAATCTCCACATTCTAATCAGCTTCTCAATAAAGACAATTTCTCCAGATTTCCCTGTGGACTTATTAGTGACTATCTTCTTTTCCCACAACAGAAGCATTTTCCTTATGGCCCCGACCAACTCCATTTATAAGTGTAATGACCTGTTTAGCAGGCCACTTAAGTCTCTCTCTCTTGCCAAACCTGTTCAGTTTCTCCTGATTGCTGGAGTTTTCAGTTCTGGTACCATCCTTGTAAATCTTTTATATTTTCTCTCTAGTTTGGCTGTATCCTTTCGTCAATGGTATATGTGGTTAGTGCCAAATGTTCTGAGCAAAATCACTCATTTGTTGACAAGAAAGTTGATTACAATGAAATTATGAAAAGTGTTTAAATCCTTCTTTGTAAAAGCTGTTTGACTGAAAGTGCTCAATAAATTGATTTCTTGCACCTTTTTCTAACATGAGGAATATCTCAGTGAACGTGAAGTAAGTCAGCCGGTATGTAAAGGCTGAAGCAAAAGCTTAAGGTGGGAAGGAGCCTTTGTGCAGGTGTCTGAAGGCAGGAGGTAGTGATACTGTCTGGATAGTAGGACTCTTAGCTGGTTGTGTGGTGTATAGTGCTCCAGTTCATTACTTATGGTAAACTGTACAGTGGTTGATGGGTTTGTTTGTGTCTCTTTATTGATCAGAAACACTGAAATTGCTGCAGAGGCTGCTTAAGTCTCCAGGCTGCAGGAAGATCCCAGTCCTGGTCCAGAACAAGGATGATGTGATTGTTACAGCATCAAACTTCAGCTCTGAAAGGTAACAAGCTTCATGCTCCCCAAACAAGGATGGCACTTTTTGATATTTTTCCTCCTTCCTGTGAAAGCAGTGAGTCCCACCAACATGTAATTTCTGTCATTCCCTCGGTTAGCATCATCAAGATGCTTGACTGGTTGGCAGCATTGTCGACTCAAGTCCTTCCATAGAATTGTTACAGCACAGAAGATTCCATTCAATTTATCATTTCTGTGCTGGCTGTCTGCAAGAGCAACTCCCTCCTTTTGTAGGCACCTATCTAGTCCCAGATTTTTCTTTGTCCTCTAAGCCAGCATGTATTCTTCAAGCATGGTGGAATCACAGCACCCAAGGTATTGAGTGTTTGTTTGTTTGTTTTTTTTTGGTAACCCTTTCCTCATCCTGTAGCTAGTCACCGCGTCCTTGCTGCTGCCCCAAACTCAATTTAATCTGTAATTGAAACTGGACACTCACTCACTCTATGCTGAGTCTCCCATGGAGCATTTGATGCCAAAGTAAAATGGGACATGCTTCCCTCAGGAGTTTATTGATGTGAGACTAGCAACTTAGGGAGTTTTAATTAGAGCTGGTAAAACCGGAGGGTTTCACCCAAATGTTCAAAACTGATCAAAAGAAGGTTAGGTATTTTTTTTCCCCCCTTTCATTTGTGGATGTGAGAGTCTCTGGCTGGAGCCAGCATTTGTTATCTATCCCTACTTGCCCTTGAGAGTGGTGGTGAGCTTAATGAGGATTCACGATCACTGAACCACTTTGGAGCTATTCTGCACCCTGACCAATTAACTCCCCAAAAGCTGTCGGCAATGTCCCTGGTGTTTTGTACTAAACGAAAACCGAAAGAACTGCGGATGTTGTAAATCAGGGACAAAAATAAAGTTGCTGGAAAGCTCAGCAGGTCTGGCAGCATCTGTGAAGGAGAAAATAGAGTTAACGTTTGTCAGTTCTGAGGAACGGTCACCGGACCCGTAACATTAACTCTGTTTTCTCCTTCACAGATGCTGCCAGACCTGCTGAGCTTTTCCAGCAACTTTGTTTTTGTCCCTGGTGTTTGTCCTTGATGAGGCAAGAATATCAAATGTGAACTTTTCTGCAACAGTCTCTCTCCGAGTAACTGAGTCCCTACGTTTTCCTCTTCCTCAGGATGTGTCCAATTTTCCAGATCTCCAATGTCACGGGGGAGAACCTGGAACTGCTGAAGATGTTTTTGAACCTGCTGTCACCGCGGACAAGTTTCAAGGAGGATGAGCCGGCAGAGTTTCAGATTGACGACACGTACTCTGTCCCGGTGAGATCTTGCATAGTGAGGGCTGGGTGCGACTAAATGGCCTCTGTATTAATTCCAAGTATTAAGCTTGCAGAGGAGGAGTTCCACATCAGTCCTCCATCACGTCAGTCATCTGTTCAGGATGTCCGATGTAGTAGCATGATGCCGAGTCGGACAAATATTAAGACAGGTCACCAATAAAAACGTGAACTGTAAAAAGCCTTTTGAAGGAGGGAGGGGGAGTTTAGAGCTGGGGGGATGGTGTTATATGGCTGAAGGCCACTGAGATTGTCAGTTTAAACGGTTGTTTGAGAGAGTAAATTGCAACATACCAATTGCTGCCCACTTCTTCTAAATTCCTGATTAGATCTATTAGTGAGTAATTAGAGGCTGTAATTTTGGACTTGCAAGCAAGTGGAAACACTATCCCTACGTTGCCCATTTGAACCTCACTGACAAAGTTAAAGGACTAAGCTGGGATTCTCTGACCTGACAACTTAGAATTTGAACCGTAGAAGAGTTACAGTGTAGAGGAGGGCCATTTGGCTGTGTGCGTGTGTCTTGGCTCTCTGCAAGAGCAACTCAGCTATTGCCATTGCCCTGCAGCCTTTTTTTTTTAAATTTTAAAAAATAATCAAGGCCAGATTTCCTTTCCAAGAGGACATTGGTGAATCATTGGTGAATTTACAACAGATCATATCGATAGTAGTCTCCGTGACGGTGGCTTCATTTTAATTCCAGTCCTTTTGCACATCTGCATCGGTGGGATTTAAATCTGTTAAATTCAACCTCTACAATCAGTCCAGAGATTAGATCAGTTTGAGTACATAAGAGACCATGACAATGCTGCCAATTTGAAACAACAGTAAAAATGAACAGGGGAACGTTAGTTCAGCATTATTGTGGGATCTTTTTTCACAAATTACTGTTTGCCCACATGACAACAGTTTAAGCTTCAAAAGGAATACATTGTCTTTGGACCATTCTGAGGACAGATGCGTTATGAATGCAAACAAATTCATTTGTACCCAAACAAGATTTCCAAACGTCCGCCGGGTAGATCAAATATAAACACTGTTCTGATTAAAATGGACAGAAATCTCACTTGTTTTTGTGGGTTAAAAACAGGAGTATGACTCTTGATTGCTGACATCTACTTGATGCTAAGCATTTAAATTATAAACCACCTTCTCCTGTTTCATTTTGTTTTCTAGGGTGTTGGGACAGTGGTATCTGGAACAACACTAAGAGGTTTGATTCGTTTGAATGACATATTACTTCTAGGACCTGACCCACTGGGGAATTTCATGCCCATCGCAGTGAAATCAATCCACCGGAAACGAATGCCAGTCCGGGAAGTGCGAGGTGGTCAAACTGCATCCTTTGCTCTGAAGAAGGTACAAAATACTCAACTCATGGTGGTTACTGCTTGCTATAAATGTTCTCTCTTGTCCTTCCAGAAATTATTCATGTAATCAAATTGAATGCCCATTTTCTGTCTTGTGTACAGTTACTAATCCACACAGAAGCAGTGCTGTACAGCTTTTTCAATTACAAAAGCCTAGAGATTTTACAACACAAACACGCCATTCAGTTGAACTGATGTGTGCTCTATTAGAACATCTTCTCTTGCCCTACCTCATGACGATCTGGCTTACTTTTCATTGCTTTGCTGTTTTCCTCGTCTATTCCCTATGTGGTTACACGTTTCTCACCGATCCCTCTGGGTAAAGACGTTTTTCCTGAATTCCTGGTTGGATTCATCTGTGACTCCCTTTATAGATGTTAGCTGTCATTTTGGATTCTTTACTCCAACTAGATACACCACCTCTGTTTACCTGTTTCAAAACTACTTTCAAAATTTTAAAGTTTATTATCAAAGCACCACTTAGTCTGTGACTCTTTCCTCTCTAAAAGGAGACTGTGTGTATCATTTTCTGATGGCTTTGACCTGTCAGTTATGAATAGTTGGATAATTACATTGGTCAGTGTGGTACTGAAGGTCAACTCCTAGTTGCTAGCCTTGGAGCCACAAGGATAGGATGGTCAGGGTTACCATTTCTGGTTTAGTTTAATAAAACATCTAGAGGAGAAACTTTGCTGAAGGGAAAACATAAATGAGGAAGATACATCATCCACTTGAGAGGCATAAATCTGAAGTATATTGGGGTGCAAATTGAGGGTCAACACATGGGAAGTTACAAATGTTTGCCATTAATTGGATCACAAGATGTTTAATTCAATTGGCTAATGAGGTAGAACACAAATCAAAAGGATGTTGGAAGTGAATCTGAAAAGGAGCCGGGTGGTTTTCCCTTTCCCCACGGACCATTCTGAACTGCAGTAGTTCAGTGTGGTTCATAGCACCTTCCCCAGGGAAGCTAGGGATGGACAATAAATACTGGTTCAGCCAGCAACACCCACACATCTTTGAAGGAGTTTTATTAAAATTAATCTTGCCCTTAACCTAAAATTTACCTGTCTATCCATGCAGATACTTTGTCTGTATTCTGAGAATATTGAAACAAATGCACTTTGACCTTTAACAAAATTCCCACCTCTGTCCCAAAATATGGAGCCTAATTCTTCTTTCCCTGTCCCCAGATTAAGCGCTCGTCCATCCGAAAGGGAATGGTGATGGTTTCTCCAAAACTTAATCCTCAGGCATCCTGGGAGTTTGAGGGAGAAATCCTTGTATTGCACCATCCGACAACCATCAGCCCTCGCTACCAGGCTATGGGTAAGCCAACTAGAGTTGGAACCTGCTGTGCTAAGTGTATTGCTTCTCAGAAATTAATCTTTCTCATGTACTGAACTTGTATACGTAACTAGGAGGTGGGTGGGAAGGAGTTATTTATCCATAGTGAGAGGTGTCACGTCAAGCCCCACTCTCTGAATTTGACCCATAATGCAGGCTGCCATGGCCTAGTGCAGTACTGAGATTCTTTCTTGTGTTTTGATGACACATTGGAAATGAGACCCTGATTTGTTGTCTTGTGTGGATGTGAATGATCCTAAGGAATTACTTTGAAGGAGATATTCCCCAGTAGTCTGTGTAATACATATTTAATATCCAACATCAGTTTTGGAAAAAATAATGATTACTAACACTTTGCTGGTTGTGGGATCTTGTTTTGTATAAATTGACTGCTGTGTTTCCACAAAATAGCCAGTGTCTACACTTTAAATAGTATTTCCTTGGCTGTAAGGTGCTTTGAGACGCCCTGAGGAGGCACTATAGAAATGGAAGCCTTTCTAATATAGTGATCTCCTCCTCATGGTGAACCTGTTGCCAGTTTTGTTATGCGTGGTTAGTCCAATTGCTCATTCTCTTCTTTCTCACAGTGCACTGTGGCAGCATTCGTCAGACAGCCACCATTCTGTCCATGAGCAAAGATTGCCTGAGGACGGGAGACAAGGCCACTGTTCATTTCCGCTTTATCAAAACCCCTGAGTACCTGCACGCTGATCAGCGCCTCGTCTTCAGAGAGGGTCGGACCAAAGCCGTGGGAACTATAACCAAGGTAAACGTTGGCGATGGGAGGGCTGGGGTTTCTGAGCCTTCTGGATGATGACCAGGGAGTCTGGGAATTCTCCATTTGAACATTTTGGCTGTAAATCAGTCTGGCGTGCTAGGTGTAACAGGAATAAAACTTCATTGATTCACTGCAGCAGCCCTACATGTCCTGTTATCAGCCTGTGGTTTGTAGTCCTATCCCCGAGGCGATTTACCAGGATGTTGCTGGGAATGGAGGGTTTGAGTTATTTTTCACTGGAGCATAGAAAGTTGAGGGGTGACCTCGAGGTTTATAAAATCATGAGGGGCATCAATGAGGTGAATGGCAAGTGTCTTTTCCCTAGGGTGGGGGTTTCAAAACTAGGGGGCATGTTTTTAAGGTGAGAGGAGAAAAGATTTTAAAAAAGACATGACGGGCAATTTTGTTTTTTTTTTAGTGGTTCAAGCGTGGAATAAACTTCCAGAGGAAGCAGTGGATGTGGGTACAGTTAGTGTTTAAAGGACATTTGGATAAGTACATGAATAGGAAAGGTTTGGAGGGATATGGGCCAAATGTAGGCAGGTGGGATTCGTTTAGTTTGGGATTATGGTCAGCATGGACTAGTTGGGCCAAAGGGTCTGTTTGACTCTGAGGGAAGCTCTTTGGCTCCCTTTCCCTGCCAAACGGCATCACTGTCCAAGGAACAAAAGGCCATTCAACCTCTTGACCCTATTCTGCCATTTTGGTTAGAGGACTGATTTTTACCCCTCATCAGTTTTTTGCCAGAAAGTGTTCCAATTTGTCTTGATGAACAGCTTTTTGGTTCCAATTTTACAATATTGTCTCATTTGTGATTCCCCTTTCGAACCATTTCTAACATTTAAATTCCTGCATTAGATTGCAACTCATAGGAATAGAACGTGCGTTTGTACAACATGTCCTCTCAATTTAACTCTCTGAACCCCACTATGAAGACGACCCTGATCCTGACTTGGCTCAATTTTCAGTAACCTGTGAGTGGGCTGTAGGAGGGTGCTATCACTGTCTATCCCAAACCACACCAGGAACTGAGGTTACCTACAGTGTCTCATCTTGTTCATGGAGCTGAATTGGCTGATTGACACATTGTGATAGGATTTATTTAATTCAGCATTTTTGGTATATTACATGAATTTCAGAGTTGAAATGGTTTAGCCATGAATCCAATGATCTGACTGTCAACTAAAATGAGATGGAAATATTGCAGCTAGTTTTTTTGGATGTGTTATTGTCTGGATGAGGTGGAGTTTGAGTTGACTGGTGGTGTTTAAGCATGTTATGGATTTGAGAGAGGAACCCAGGTCCTGGGGAATGGGAAGCAGTGTTGGATAAACTACTGGGAAATGTTCTAATTGATCAAATGAAGTTGGTTAAAACGGTTCACTCGTGTTTATTTTGAAAACTAGTTAATCCAGACTACAAACACGTCACCATCGAACACCAAACCGCTCCAGCTGAAGATGCAGTCAACAAAGAAAGGGGCCTTATTGAAGAAGGAGGAAGTGTCAGCAGCAAACGGTGCAACTGGGGAGGAAGGTCCGTCTTTGGGGCAGACGCCAGCTCTGCATACACTGAACCAAACACAGGTAGGTCAGGGTGCAGCACTGTGTATTTCACTCCCAGCAGTGATGCAAGGCTCCAACCTGCTGCACACGCACTAAAGCCTGTGATGTAACACAGAAAAAGTGTCATGACGGTGCTGATGCATCCAAATTTTTGCTGGTGGTGATCGTTGCAGGTTTTTGTCTCTGGCTGTCCTATCTGCTCATGTTGTTTGTCTCTTGTTTGCTTTCTCTTGCTGCACGGCTTTCAGATGCCTTCAGAGGAGGATAAACAGAATCCAGATGTTAATAAGGAGAACAAGGTAGCTGCATGGATTTGTGTGGTATCAGCATTGTGGTTTGGTCGCACTGTATTCATTGAAAAGCCTGTAGCCAGTCTCCCCCTAAAAGTCAGTGCATGTTCATTTCAAGGGTCTGGCTAAACTTACTCAGTGATTTGTGAAGCAAAAGGGGTATCAATCCCCATTCTGTGCTGAGACCAGTAAGCTGTTTGTCGGGTAACTGGCTGCGTAGCCGAGAAAGACAGCATTAAAATTGGGCAGGATTTGGATATTCCTCCCCAGTATGTGGTAAGGAGAGGTTCAGGGGGCCATTCAGCCCATTGTGGCTATTCTGCTATCCACTAAGGAGGGAAGCCTCTTTTGGAAAGGGGAGGGTGGGGAGAAACTTTTTTGTAAAAAAAAAAAAAAAAAAATGCTGTTTGCTAAAAATCTGAAATAAAAACAGTAAATAATGGAAAAAAACTCAAGTCAAAAAGAAAGTTCATATTTCATCTGACATGAATAATGCTGACTTGTAATCATTATTTGTGGGCAAGCTTATTAGGTTTTAAGATTTCAAGCTTCCTCATGAGTGAGAAACACGAGACGCTCGACTGGTAATACTTTGTGACACTGTCACAGGAGAGTGTCCAAAGTAAGTGCTTATATTCATGTAGGGACAGGGGTCAAATAATAGGCTCACACCTGTTACTAGGTGTATTTAGCAAGTGGATTAAATGCTCAGGGTGAGGACAGGAGTCTGCAATTTACTGGTGTCCACCATCCCTGCTGGACTAACTGGCTTCACTTAAAAATTCCTAGTGTTTTAACAACTACTCTTTTTCTGATTTCCAACTAGCCCAAAGGTGGTGGAGGGAGAAGACGGGGAGGCCAACGACACAAGGTGAAGTCACAGGGAGCAGCAGTGACTCCAGCGAGTGGCTACTAGACACACAACCTGACTACAACAAGGAGACACACTCACACACTCTCACTTGCTTTCTGCCCCCCAACCCCTCCCTTTCTCACCCCTCTTTCTTCTCCCTTTCTTTCCGCCCTCCCCCCCTTCTGATATCCTAAAGAATTATGGAAGTGACATGGACACTGTTCTGTTTTTTCTTAAAGCATTTTTTTTTTGAAATGGATTTTACATTTTTAAAACATTTGAAAACAGTGATGCATTTCAAGCCTGTTAATGTGTTTTTGAATTTTATGCATATGCCTTTTTTTTATATAAAAGTTAAAATAATCAAAAGCTTGCTCTGGTTGAGCTGAAAACATGCAAGAGAAGTGCAGCCAGGCTTTCTCTGTCCCGGTGTTTAAAAGCTATTCCTAACCTTGTATTTTAATTGGATTGGGCCAGACCGTTGGTTCATTTGGTCTCTTGCTGATTGTTCAGCTGTTATCTAAATAAGTTATAAACTATTGGTTTTATTGATATGTTTGAATTGCCAATCAGGCTGACAGGCTCCAGATTATTTTGTTCTCGAGACATCCCCGTGATAGATGCTGTATTAAGGACACTAAATCCGACTTGGTGCTGGGAGGACAACAACAAATCTATCGTCCTATCAAGTCTCAAAAATCAACTCTTACTTGGTATTTGAGATCTTGTAGCTGTGACATTGGTTGCAGATGGTCTTCCATTTTTCAAGATGGTGCAATCTTGCCTCAAACGTGTTCTGTAGCAAAGTGAGTAAATATGGTTGATGGGGGAACATTTGTAAAAAGTTTGAGACAGCTGTGCCCTGTTTTTTTTTTTTTTTTTGAAAGGGCTCCCTATTGAAAAGTTTTTAAATGTGTCCTGATGTTATTTAGAACTTACTTAGATGCAAGTATGAAGTGAAGCTGGCATGCAAATCTCACAACTAGCAACCAATTATGATCTGTCATCAGCACCTGATACTGGGTTAACATTGCTTGAAATGTGTGCATTTTTTTCCCCCATCCTCAAATATAATTGACTTTGCTGTTGGTTGGATAAGTTGTGAGTGAGAACCTCGTTTAGGAGAACAGACTTAACACGTGCCGAACCAAGTCTTGGTCTCTTTGCAGTGGATGTGTTGGGGCCTGGTTCTGGTGTTAACTGGTTCTTACCTGTCCCCACATCAAACCTGATCCTTTTCCCCTTTTCTCTCCCTACGGGACTAGTCCATTACGCACGTAGCATTGGCTACGTCAAATGGTAGCCTGCACAGAAATCTGTTTGATGGGCTGTCTGCTATTTCAACTTTATAAGCACCTTGGCTGTCTCTGCCAAAGCAGCTATTGAGAAATATTCAGGGGAAGAAAAGCATGAAGAAATTCTGCTGTGCTCTCGTCAGCAGTAGACCTCTGTAATCTGTTTGTCTGGTGCTAAATTAGGTTGGTCTATGTGAAGAGTAATGGAAGGGTGTGTATTCCCCATTCTGGCTATGTGTAACAAGTATCCAGTTGATTAAAGATGCTCCTATGCCAAGACAAATGTTTGTGTTTTTCTCTTGCTATAATCATTTAAATAATTGGCTGTTTAACTCTTGCTCCGCAAAATCCTAGCTGGAAGAATTCATTCTCAATAGACCTGTCCATGTTATGTTTAAACTCATCTTGTTCATAGTATTCCATTCTGTCACTAGATGTCAGTCATGTATGTTATAAACATGTAGTAGGTTATACAAGGATAAACTCTTACAGCATTATGTAAAATACACAATAGGCCATTCAGCCCACCCTGTCAATGCTGATGTTTGTTTTTTTTGGGGGGGGTGGAGGAGAGAAAGAGGGAGAGAGTAGGATGGAAAGAGAACATTTGTTTTAATTTGAGATGTCTAGTTTCATCAGCACCCACAAGGCTAGAGCACTACTGGTGAGGTTTCTAAAAGAAAAAAAACAATGCCCAAAATTCTCACCACCTCAGTCATGCATCATCTATGGAGAGAAACTTCTGTCACAGTGCTGGAAATACTCAAGTTTTGTTCCAGTTAAAAATGCAAGAGCTACAGTATTTTGCTCAAGGCTATCATAAAATTTTTCATACCTCTTCTTTTAAAGATGGGTCACAGATATTGGCCTCCCCAACAAGTCCATTAGAAAGTTTAGATTCTAGGACACCCTGTACTAAAAGTTTCTTGTGGCACAATGAACCTCTGGACCAGGAGGCCTGGATTTGAGTCCCACCTGCTTTTTGGAAGGGCTCTTGTGCAGCTAACTGAGACAATACCTTTTCGGGTGTTGTTGGGGCAGCGGTAGCCTATTGTATCGAGTAAACAGTTTTGAATATTTGGTCATACAATCTCAGTACTCATTGCAGAATGTGTGGGAATTTGTTTATGGTGAGGCTGTATTTTTAAACAGTGGTTGAATGGGGAAATGATGTACACAAACACTGTATATATTTGGTGGTTTCTACTGAAACTGCAAGTGTAGCTGGGTGTTATCAATAATTCAAATCTGACAGTGCCATGCACAAATGGATCTGGGACAGTTGTTCAGAAACAAATGATGTGTGGGCCTCCTGCATTCTATCCTTATTAAACTGCTGCCTGACTCCAGGGCAACACAAGTTAAAACTATCTCCCATATGTTCAATGACAGATGTTGATTCCCTTCAAAGAAAGTGTTGATTTTAAAATTCTTATCTACTCCAGCACCACAACTCTCTATTTTTCATCTCCTTTCTTTTTGTTCTTTTGTGCATTCTCAATTAAAATTGCTCCAAGATTGTTAGCTGTACTTTGTTGCCTAGACCCCAAGCTTGAATTCCCTCTCCTACAATCACTTTTAAGGCACTCCTCAACACCTTGCTTTTTCAAGCATGTGTAATAATTCTTTAGAAGTTGGCAGAATAGGAGTGCATGGTTAATAAAGCCTAGGATGCTGATTAAGGGGCACAGTATAAGGGCAAGGAAATAGTGTTACACTTAAAGTTAGTTGGGCTTCAAGTACAGTATTGTATCTAGTCCGGGCACAACACCTTTGAAGAGGATGTGCAACAATGGGGTAAAAAAAAAAAAAAAATAAGGGAGTGGGACTAAGGAATTGCTAGTTCAGGGTGAGCACAAACTACAAGCTCTTGTAAGATTTATTAAAATACTGTACATTTAGGATTTGAATCAATGTCATAGCTATAAGGAGTGGGAATACTATGTAGACAATATTGCACAGGATGGTATGTAATGATTCTGCTCTATAAACTAGGCTGCCACAAAAATATTAAATAGTACCCACTACTGAATTTTAAAATGAATGGGTCCCAGTAATAAAGCACCCAGACTTGCATCACTGATGTCCTGCATTAAGCTCATGAGGGAAGTTCTGCCAATGCTGATCTTAAGTGTAAGATTAAAAAAAAATGCACCAGTATAGGACAAGTTCACAATTTTATTTTTGCAGGTACAGTTAATCTGGCCAAAGTGGTTTAATACTTTCTTTAAAAAACACAACTGGATATCTACAGTAAAAGTAAGGACTGTAGCAATGATTCTGGTGCCCAACAGAGATATGGCACTGTGTAGAGCAGGAGACAGTGGGAATTAAAATCAAATTGTGAATTACTGCTTAAAGCTGTTGCTCCATAACCCATGTACAGTTCTCTCAACTTGGGCTCTGGTTACTGACTGACAGTGGTTAACTGCTGTGGTAGGGTAACAGGGCAGCAGACAAGGAGTAATAGATCTTTACAGCAAAGGGGAGGGTACCATTCAATTTTCATAATTATTTCATAGTTATTTCATAATAGACAATTCCCCAACATATCATTGTAGTAACAATCAGTCCATCCCTCAATCATAGTTCAAACCAACAGCATCTGGGCACCAAATAACGCTTGCCACAGTCCAGAAATATCAGAGCAAATGCATCAACGATACTAAAACATTAACTACACTGTACAGCATCACTAGCAGTGAGTATAAACAATTCTTCTAAAATACTGATGACATTGTCTAATAAAACAATAATGGAGTTCAGGAATAAAGCAGTTGTTAAATAATTCCACATGCATAGTTTGTTAAAGGACACCAAGTCCAAGTACATTAGAATTGCCATGACTACAAGTAAAAATGAGTGATTCTTGCACACCAGGTTGCTATAGGGTAAATATATTTATACATAAATACTCATGAATAATAAATTAATACATATGATAAACTACAAAATAAATTCTTTGGATGTCTAAATTTTACCAATGTCTAATTTGAAGGGACCTGTTCATCTGCAAGTGTGATTGGAATTCGCACCTCTGACCCTGTGGAAGACTTTGCCCCTTGTACACTCAAAAGTGAATTGTGTGTATGAAACAGAGAGAGCCATTCAGCAAATATTACGAGCTGCAGAGACTGACACTAGCCAATGCCAACATGGGAAGCCAGGGTGAGACTTGCCTATCTGGCTGCTATACCATCCCTATCTGCTGCTGAGAGCTAGATGGATGAGTTAAAGCAGCACAGTTTGGGAAGCTAAGGGCTCTACTGGTCTGTACAGCTCAGGCCCTTTCTCACTTGCCAAAGGAGCTTAAACCAGTGGTTTTGGCAATGGCTGCTTTCAACACAGGGACAGGAAGTCAAATTGATAGCTTAGTTACCACCATTTCTGCAAAATACCCTGGCACAAACATGTGTACACATGGTACGAGATGTCCAGGTCCCTTCAAATGCTGTAAATTTTACAAAAATAAAACACAGAACATATCTTCTGAACCAGTGCAATGCAAGAAGTAAAAGGAGGTACCAAGCAAATTTCCCAAGAGATTCAGAGTACCTCACTATTGCTGCTTGGAGGCGTTCATGAATCAGACACCAACACAAGAGGAGAAAGCTCATCAGACAGGATAAAGTGGATTGAGAGGATGCTTTGTGGATAAGGTAATCAAAATGGAACAGGAATAATTCATTTTCATAGGAACCAGCATATTGTTCTAGTTAAAAAGTCCATTATACTACAGGCAAATAAGGAGTCAACATTCAAAATTGGCCAAGTTGCTTTTTAGCAGATTAGAACTGACAGCCTGGTTCAAAGATCAGTTATTGTTATCCTTGTTACTCCTGAGGTAATCTTGGGTTTCTTTGACACCAACTTGAATTGCAAGATGCACAACTCAGCAATTGTCCAAAATAACAAACTCTTTTTAAAATGGACTGTCATGATGGGCTTTTTGCCTCCTTTTATCTCAGCTGCTGTTATATTTCCCACAGGCTCTGATTTTACCTGCTCTAGGTTTTAAAATCTCTTCTGTTGACTGCACTGGAGACCACACTGGACTGTTTCCAGATTCCAGTCACACCAGGAATCAGCGGAATGGGATTTTCTATTCAAGTATTGCAACACTGGAGCAGCAGCTGCCAGTGGACTTGTCTCCATGTCAAATGTGTTCAAAGAGAGAAAACCACAGAACCCATTCTTATCCCTGCATGTGTCCACACACACATTTAATCCCAAACATGGACATGCTTCTCATCCAGTAAAAAGTGTACAAATATTTGTCCCCTTCATTAAAACTACCAACTACCCTAATGTCTGGGGTTAATACAATAATCACATCTGACAACACTTGCAGCAATCTCTGGACAATCATTTCCTCCTCTTTCATATCACAGTAAGTACTTCAAACTTCAATGTTAAATACAAAATTCAAACCAGAAGTTGTTAATTTGAGAGACATTGTGCTGGGATGCATTCTGATTGCAGCCACCGAATATTAGCATTTCCAAGTTCTCCTTGGGCAAGGCACAGAACAGTGTTAGATCCAGAGTAAAGCTCTCTCTACAATATCTCCATTAAACACTCCCAGGACAGGGACTGCATGGTATTAGATACAGAGTAAAGCTCCCTCTATACTGTCCTCATCAAACACTCGCAGGACAAGCACAGCCCAGGCTAGGCACAATAAAAACACTGAGCGTCACTGCTTCAGCCTGATGCCTCTGCCCAAAGTTCCCACAGCAGATACCTGTGACTGAATTAGCACCAATTCAAAAAGATGGAAGGTCAGTGTGTAACTGAATGAACAATCCAATAGCCCCAGACAACACATTTACAGGGATAAAGGGTACATCTCCTTTCACGGTCATAACCCAAGATATCTAAAGAGATTCAGAAAATAAAGATCAAGTATTGGACACAGAAATGCTTTTAGAAAGTCTGAGGCTCAATTTGCCTCAGAAATTAAACACTGGAGGGCAGACTGTCAAATTTGAACTTAAAATCAAAAAGGTGTCCAAAGTCCTCCTGTGAGTCTGAGAGAACATCACTCAGAGACTACAGCTTGTGACAGAGACCAGCGGGCAGGGCAGGACCAGGAAGGTTTCTGATGAGGATAGGAGAGATGCAAAGAAATTCAATGGTAAACATCTTTATGGAAATGCCTGTAAACAAATATAGTGTTAGAACATAAATACAATACTGCTTCAATACCAGTTATTTAAAATTACTGCACCAAGGCTTATACACCTTGAGTTGTTAGTGTCTTTCAGTTTTATCCAGGATAGT